AGTGGCAATGTTTACACACCGCACCAGGCACTCATTTGAGGCTGAGTAGACCTAGGGGAGGCCCAGGACCGGTTCAGATAATCGTCACTGGTGTTGGCCGTGAGCGGGAATCGAACCCGGGTCGCCGGGTTCATAGCGCAGCGTAGCGCTAACCGCTACACTACCGCTCCCCCCCCCCCCCCACACACACGCACACATACACGCGCACACACACACGCATACACACGCACACACACGCACACACACACGCACATAAACACACGCACACACACACGCGCGCGCGAAGGATACCCGACGCGGCGAGCCAAGTGGTCGTCAAGCGTCTCGGCGTGCACTCGATGCGCTTCTGTGTTACGGCGAAGCTACTTGATGGGACACCAAAGCTACGCGAACTCTCTCTCTCTCTCTCTGCTCCTCCTCCTCTCTCGAAGCCGCCTCGTCGTGCCTGGCAGACCCCGACAGTGGCGTCGAGCTCACGAACGTCCTGCGCAAGGCAACGAGCGGCCGCTCTTTGAGTTCCTTCGAGGGCTTCCGGAATTGTTGGGTTGTTTTTTTGTTTCGATTTAAAGCTTTCGTGACTGCAATGATCCATCTTCTTTGGTTCTTTCGGTAAAGTCACCACGTAGAATGAGAATAAAATAATAAATTGATAAAATAAAATAACACAATAATATTCTCACGACGTTTCGGCCACAACACAAGCGGCCTTCATCAGGTGAAGGGAGCGAGACTGTCTGGTAGGACAGCGCTGGAGTGAGAGAGCCACGTTCAGATCACGGCTTTTAAGGCTTTTTGTTCCTCTCACACAGCTTAAAAGCCGTGATCTGAACGTGGCTCTCTCACTCCAGCGCTGTCCTACCAGACAGTCTCGCTCCCTTCACCTGATGAAGGCCGCTTGTGTTGTGGCCGAAGCGTCGTGAGAATATTATTGTGTTATTTTATTTTATCAATTTATTATTTTATTCTCATTCTACGTGACTTTACCGAAAGAACCAAAGAAGATGTTTTTGTTGTTGTTGTTGTTGGCTGCCGGAGGTTTTCCTTTTCCCTCCTCCGCTAGCCGCACGCGAAATTAATCCCGCGTGCTCGTTCCCACCTCCGTGACAACCCACGGACACGAGACTCGCGTTAAATATACAACGCGCATATATTTCTATTTCTTTTCGGTTTGAAAAGACAAGCGATTCACACGACCGCGCGTTCATTGCTGCAGAGGAACTTAATTACCGCCTGTTCCTTGGCACCTAATAAAGTACAACACAACGCAATATAATTGGGTTCATTATTTGGTTTTGTTATTCTGCGCAGTCGCGGCAGGGCCCGACGTCACAAGGGCACGCCAGGGGATGACGAGTTACCTCCGCGTGCTATGTAAATGCTATGGGTCTCTGGGTAAGTGTGTGGGTCTCTGGGTAAGTATGTGGGCCTCTGGGTAAGTGTGTGGGTCTATGGGTAAATGTGTGGGTCTCTGGGTATGTGGGTCTCTGGGAAAGTGTGTGGGTCTCAGGGTATGTGGGTCTCTGGATAAGTGTGTGGGTCTCTGGGTAAGTGTGTGGTTCTCTGGGTAAGTATGTGGGTCTCTGGGTAAGTGTGTGGGTCTCTGGGTATGTGGGTCTCTGGATAAGTGTGTGGGTCTCTGGGTATGTGTGTGGGTCTCTGGGTAAGTATGTGGGTCTCTGGGTAAGTGTGTGGGTCTCTGGGTCTCTGGGTAAGTGTGTAGGTCTCTGGGTATGTGTGTGGTTCTCTGGGTAAGTGTGTGGGTCTCTGGGTAAGTGTGTGGGTCTCTGGGTATGTGGGTCTCTGGATAAGTGTGTGGGTCTCTGGGTAAGTATGTGGGTCTCTGGGTAAGTATGTGGGTCTCTGGGTAAGTGTGTGGGTCTCTGGGTATGTGGGTCTCTGGGTAAGTGTGTGGGTCTCTGGGTATGTGGGTCTCTGGATAAGTGTGTGGGTCTCTGGGTAAGTGTGTGGGTCTCTGGGTAAGTGTGTGGGTCTCTGGGTAAGTATGTGGGTCTCTGGGTAAGTGTGTCTCTGGGTAAGTGTGTGGGTCTCTGGATAAGTGTGTGGGTCTCTGGGTAAGTATGTGAGTCTCTGGGTAAGTGTGTGGTTCTCTGGGTAAGTATGTGGGTCTCTGGGTATGTGGGTCTCTGGGTAAGTGTGTGGGTCTCTGGGTGTGTGGGTCTCTGGATAAGTGTGTGGGTCTCTGGGTATGTGTGTGGGTCTCTGGGTAAGTATGTGGGTCTCTGGGTAAGAATATGGATCTCTGGGTAAGCATATGGGTCTCTGTGCAGGTCTGTGGATCTATATGTGAGTATGTATGTTGCTATTAAAAGCCTTTCACCCGTGGCACACACAGCGACGGGAAGGGGAGTCAAGACAGACTGAGTGAGAGGGCACGCTGCTCAAGACGGGCAAGCAGGAAGGAAGATGGAGTGCCGAGCGGGGATGGGAGCAGTAGGGGGAGTGACCGGGTCAAGAAGTCGTGGATGAAAGGGTGATGATGAGTGGGAAGGGAAGACAGGGAGAAGAGAGAAAGACGGAGCGAGCAGGAGTTGCGTGGAGCAGCGTCTGTTTTTAAAGGGGGCGGGGAGAGGGAAGGATTCAGAGTGGGGGTGGCCACACAGAAGTCGCGTGGTATACAGGAGACTTGAGCTTCTGTAAACATACCGATGTGTAGGTCTGAGTCGTTTAACTTCGTAGATTTCCAAGTAAGTCTTGGGAGCAGTGGTGCAGCGATTAAGCACAACTGCGCTACGAACACGGCCACCCGAGTTTGAATCCAAGCCACGGCTGACATCAGTGGCCAGTTACGTCTGCGTCCGTGCTGGGTCCCGCTCCACCTCGCCAACCTGCGACGATCAGCGCGGTTGAAGTACGGGCAAGCAACTCCTGTGTGTGAATCCTTTCAACCAGCGGTGGGTTTATGACGAAGGGCTCTAAGAGCAGCGGTCCCCAACCTTTTTGGTACCAGGGACCGGTTTCGTGGAAGACAATTTTTTTCACGCACCGGGTGGGGGGTGTCATCATTGGGTCTTTCCCCCTTTTCAAAGAAGTTCTCCAGCGACGTTTGTTTTGTACTCATTGTGGCTACTAGGGGTTAGGGGTTAGCTTGTGGGCTTACCAACACCACGTGACTGAGACTGAGTGCGCAGTGCGGGAAAGAGGCGCGGACGGAAGTGGTAAATAATAAAATAATGGTGGGCGGGCCACGCGCGGACTCACCGCTCTCACCTCCTGCTGCTGTGCGGCCCGGTTCCTAACAGGTCACGGACCGGCACCGGTCCGCGGCCCGGGGGTTGGGGACCTCTGGCCTAAGGGATGAACGATGAAGCCGGATCAAGCAGGCCAAGAGGTCGTCGCGGTCAAAGCCGTTGATGACCCCCACGCCTCGCCTTCGCTTCCTTCCTTCTGCCGGATCCTAGCCCACGACTGGAGCACGGTCGACTCCTGACCGCCAAGCTCTGCCCTTTCCTCACCACCAATCTGCCTTCAGCTCTTTGACTTTGCTCAAGTCACGATACCCTTCTGGACCCGCCGTGACAGTTTCCTGAATGCTGCAGTCTGTCCTGAGGTCTTCCCCTCGGATGCCGACCCCTGGGTGTCACCCCAGTGCCCGTCTCGGCCACCTGCCCTCCTCCACCCTGCCCCATTATTTGTGAAGTGTGAGTTATTCACATCCCGTCCAAGACGCCGAGCCAACATTTGAATAAGAGGCCAAATCCCTCTGCAGAAGGGGCCCTCTAAATCTACCCCCCCCCCCCCACCCCCGGTCGCGTTCCGTTCCACGAGCAGTGGGCGCGAGAATGCGATTGCAGGGCCGCGCCTTTATCTTTCACATGATGGCCCGCGTGTCCGTGATTGCCCCCCACCCGCCCCCCCCCCCCCCCCGATCTCTGGGGTGCGTTGGTTCCATGGGGCAGCGCAGACAGTGGGACGTAGGTACAAGAAGACTCCAACCTCGGCGTGATCGCCTCCATCGACGTTCCTTCCGTCTCCCCTCCTCCCTCTCGCGCGCGCGTAGCGGCGGTGCAGCGGTTGGCGAGCTGCGCCACGAACCCCGGCCACCCTAGTTCGATTCCCGCTCACGGCCAACACCAATGACGATTTTTTTTATTTGAACCGGTCCTGGGCCTCCCCTGGGGCCCTTACTAGCCGCTCGTCGACATCAATTACGTCGACGATTTATAAGGCTTGGGAGTGTTTGCTATTGTGGCCAGGGCCGGATTAAGGCACGGGGGCTTTAGTGGCTGCAGCCCAGGGGGCCTAAGCCAGCTGGAGGGCCTCCAGAGATGAAGTGAAAAGTTATTTCGTTTGTGAATGCTGAATTTTATTTGTTGTTTGCCTTGTTAAAATATATTTTCTACTCTTTGGTTATTTCGGTAAAGTCACGTAGTTAGAAATGAGAAAGAACCAAAGGGTCTGGATTCCTGCAGTCACGAAAGTTTCAAATCAAGATAAAAATACATTTTATTTTTCTTGAACTTTGTATTCCTTTTGAAATACTACTGGGGGCCTCACAGTAGCTGTAGCCCAGGGGCCTACAACATCTTAATCCGGCCCTGATTGTGGTGTGTGCATGTGAATGTATGTTAGCCTTGTGTGTGTATTCAACGGTAGTATGCATATGTGTTGAACTTTTTTCGCACCGTACGTAAGCCAACCCTGCTAATCGGAGTTGTAGTGTAGTGGTTAAAGCGTGGGGCTATAAACCCAGTGACCCGAGTTTGATTCCCGCTCACGGCCATCATCAGTGCCGATTATTATTTGAACCGGTCCTGGGCCTCCTCTAGGTCGACTCCGCCTCAAATGAGTACCCGGTGCGGTGTGTAAACATCGCCACTGGGGGAGACAAAGGCGGCCGAGCGTGGTGTTGGCCACTCACCCCCGCGTGCGCCGTGCCGGCCTGCATAGGCGCTCGCTAACAGCGCTTGCCCTAAACACTCTGTTTAGACTATACGGGGGATCTTTGTCTTTGTGTGCGTGCGTGTTCGCGCGCGTCACAGGACGAGGCTGCCCGGCAAGCACGTGTTCTACTACCGCAGCCCTGAGCACCGCGGGCGCTACGTCGTGTCGTTCGCCTTCTGCTTCGACCGCGAGGAGGACGAGTATCAGTTCGCCTACTGCTTCCCGTACACCTACTCGCAGCTGCAGCGATACCTCGACGCTCTGCAGGCACGGGGCTTCGACTACGTCCACCGGGAGCTGCTCGGCCTCAGCGTGGTGAGAGTCGACTCGGAAATCGGAGTCGGTGGATAGATTCAAGTCTGCTTTGAAAACTCATCTCTTTAAAGTGGCCTTCCTTCTTGGGATTGGTCGATTGCCCCGGTTCCGTTTTAGTTTCCTGCTTTTCATGCACTGCGCATCGGGATCCTAGGATCGAACGCGCATTATGCGTTTGTATTATTAGTAAGCGGGGGGAATATCGCCCTCAGCTTCATCGGCGGCTTCATCGTCAGCCTTCATCTGCTCATCATCACCACGATGCTTGGGCAGATAGGTTGCCCACTGCACATTTCGTTATTTGTTTCCACTTTCCTCTGTCTATTAAACTAAACTAATTAAAACGAAATTGTTATTGTTATTTTACCAGATAAGTCCCACTGAGCTACGTAGCTCTTTTGCAGAAGCGACCTGGCCACAAATGATAGCCCAACGAAGTGGCTCAGCGTGTTGAAATTTATAGCAGCAAGATACTCTGCATGCGTGATGTTGAATCCAAATGTGGAGGCAAAAACCGCAACAACCGGAGAAAAATCCACGCGACCACGGGGAGAGAGACACCGCAAACTCCAAATATACAGCAGGCGTCAGGGTCGAGATCCGACCCACCGACCTCCTGTATACCACGCGAGGTAGTTAGCATCTCCTAGCCACCGTCGTGCCAAAATTGAGTGGTGCCACAATCTAGCAGTAGCACCGTTGTAGCGGTTTGAAATCGGAGTGGCCTGGAGAAAACCTATGCGTATTGGGGGTGGGGGTTGGGGGGGGGGGAATGCCCAACTTTCCACTACACAGATCGGTCAGCAACTTACTGACTCTACAGCCCGGGAGTTTGACGGTACTCAATGCTAAAAAACTGGTGTGAGCCACCACCACCACCCAGTGGCATCCCACGACCTTTCTAGATTTGAAGCTTTCGTGACTGCAAGGATCCATTCTCTTTGGTTCTATTCGGTAAAGTCACGTAGGTAAAATTAAAACAACAAAAATCACGACGTTTCGGCCACAACACAAGTGGAGTTCATCAGGTGAAGGGACCGTGCTGTCACGAAGACAGCACTCCAGCGCTGTCACGAAGACAGCACGGTCCCTTCACCTGATGAAGGCCACTTGTGTTGTGGCTAGAACGTCGTGATTTTTGTTGTTTTATTTTTTACCTACGTGACTTTATCGAATAGAACCAAAGAGTATCCCACGACCTTCTCTACTAGAGATCTAGGGGGAGCGATGGGGCAGTGGTTAGCACGATGGCCTATGAATCTGGCCACCTGAGTTCCATTCCTGGCCAGGATTAACATCCGTGGTGAGTGATGTCCATCCTCTTCACCAAACCGCACTGACCAAACCTGGTGAGATATGTTCAAACAAACCCCATATCGGACGCGGTGTGGGAAAGTGGATTGACACGTTATTTATGAACCGCGTTATTATGCCATTATTGTAATTTGTTCTTTACCCCCATGTGGGAGTACGGTTCACTTTCAATACAGCCCTGTCATCGGGTTACGGAGCACAGTGGGCTGTGGTCAGTCGTGAGTAGGGGCTCGTACGCCAGTGGCATGTGAATGAATGTGGCTCACAGAATGGGACATGTGAGTACTCTAGACCCTGGCCAATGATTCGCTATGGGGCCATCCATAAATGACGTCACGCACCTAGGGGGGGGGGGGCAGATATTTGTGACGATGTGTGACGAGGGGGGAGGGGGGTGAGAAATGTGACGTCACATCAAAATGCGCAACTTTAAATAAATATAGACAACACGTTCTACTTAATTAAATAGACTTTTTAAATAAATGTGTTTTCTCCTACAACATCAGAGTGCAGCGGTACATTAAATACGCACTACAATGACAATAGTTTAAAGCGATTTGAAGCATGTTTTATATATTTTTGGGGGGAGGGCAGAGCTTTGTGACGTCATATTTGAGGGGGGGGGCTGACTTTTTGTGACTCCGTGTGACGATGGGGGGGGGGTCAAAAATCGTCCAAAATCGCGTGACGTCATTTATGGACGGCCCCTATGGAGGATGCACCAACCACGAGAATCATTGTTTAATCTTGATTTGAAGCTTTCATACTCTCTGGTTCTTTCGGTGAATTCACGTGGGTAGAAAAATAACTGTTTAGTTTCAAAGAGCGTCGTTCATGCAAATCGGATCTCGTGATGGGCTGAGGATCAACAGACAAGCTGGAAGGCAGCCAAGCAGGCAGTGAGCCGGCACCAACAGTGACCCAAGCGCTGTGGTCCTCTGTCTGTATCAATACGCTTTCATACAAGCGCTTGCACATGTGGGGGAGTAAACCGGAGCACCCGGAGGAAACCCCGCGCGTGCGAGGAGGGCGACACTCGATCCCCATACAGAAGGGAGGGATGACGTTAGTTGCTGCACAGACCCCTGGCAAGCCAGCGTACGGTACTTGCTTGACGCCCCGCGGCACGGTGGAGTTGCGCAACCATTCGCGCTCTCCGCCAAACCCTCAACGTACTCAAGCCGTCAGATTTAGTTACGCGACAACTTCCAGTCGGGAATTTCGTCAAATTTTACCGTGCGATGGCTGCAAACAACGCTGTAGAAGCGCTGTTGTGTTATGTGCTACACCCTTTTTTTTACATTTCAAATTCATGATGATGAAAATAATAATAATAATAATAGTTATTCACAGTTCTTTGTCAAATTCATTAGTACGTGTTTTGCTACATGTGAGTCAGCTGACAGCTTTGGACAGTCTTGCGAACGAGACATTCCATCTCAAGGGATTATCCGGTGTGAAATACTCTAATTTATCAGGAAGCTACTGGAGCTATGCACTTTTAAATCTAAATTGAAAACGCATTTCTTTAGAACGGCTTTTCGTGTTCAGTTTTGTTGTCCTTCCCCCGCACCTCCGATGAGCACAGTTGGAAAGGTATGATGTAAAATAAGTTAAACGTACATGCATATATAATTAACTAATACATCGATCAGATCAATCAGTGCGGCTATAAACAAATAATGTTGTCTTTTTAAATTTCAAATAAAAACTCACGTTGCATTGTAAATTCATCATCATGATTCATGAGCAGATAGCCCGCAGTTGTCCACTACACATTTCGTCATTTTCCGTCGGTTCCCTTCCATTTTTCCGAACACCAACAACAACAACACGCGCGGGATCGGGGAACCGGCCATCACCGGAATAACTCCACCCTCGATATGAGTGGCAGCAACTCCCATCGGCATCGCCGCAGGAGTCCGGCGGCCTTCAGTGGGTGTCACGGTGTGACACGGTGGGTGGCACGGTGTGTGTGGCACGGTGAGTGGCACGGTGAGTGGCACGGTGTGTGTGGCACGGTGTGTGTGGCACGGTGTGTGTGGCACGGTGAGTGGCACGGTGTGTGTGGCACGGTGTGTGTGGCACGGTGGGTGTGGCACGGTGGGTGTGGCACGGTGAGTGGCACGGTGTGTGTGGCACGGTGTGAGTGGCACGGTGTGTGTGGCACGGTGTGTGTGGCACGGTGGGTGGCACGGTGTGTGTGGCACGGTGTGTGTGGCACGGTGGGTGTGGCACGGTGGGTGGCACGGTGTGTGTGGCACGGTGTGTGTGGCACGGTGTGTGTGGCACGGTGTGTGTGGCACGGTGAGTGGCACGGTGGGTGTGGCACGGTGAGTGGCACGGTGTGTGTGGCACGGTGTGTGTGGCACGGTGGGTGTGGCACGGTGTGTGTGGCACAGTGGGTGGCACGGTGTGTGTGGCACGGTGTGTGTGGCACATTGTGTGTGGCACGGTGTGTGTGGCACGGTGGGAGCGGTGGGGGTGGGGGCTGGTGCAGGGTGCGAGTGGGCCGGGGTGGGGGGCAGCACGAATGCTGACGCGTTTAATTTCTGCCGCCCTTACAAAGCGCGACCGACTTTAATGTTTTCCCTATTATTTATTTATTACGATTATTATTCGCCTTTTGCCTCAACCTTTTCTGCCTGCACGTCATTATGCAGATGCTCGGCCATCGGTTTCTACCGGGGCTGTGAGTTGTGTGGCATTTCGCTGCCCAGATTGATGGCTGATAGCTTGACTGTAACATTTCCCTCTCCAGCAACAAAAGAGCCAACAGCCATCAATACCCGCCCCCCTTTTTTCCTCCACCCCCATCCTCCACCCCTCCCTTCCCCAGCCCGTCACCACGTATCAATGTGTACGTATGCATGTTCAACTTCTTTCACACCGTACGTAGCCAACCGTGCTAATCGTAGGTGCGAAAGTGTGCTCGTTAGCAGATCGCTTATTCTATTCTGCTGCCCCCACAGTCTGCAACACCGCCACCCCACCCCTCCCCCTCTGGGTCACATGACTCCCTGTTTTAACTGTCGTGCCAGAGCACTGAGATAGTATTGCCGAAGTCCGTTCGTATCTGGGAGGATCAGCCACGCGTGGTCCGGCCGGATTATCAAGCGGAGTGAGTTGTTGGTCTCAGCTGCCCGCTCACCGACGATTTAGTTTGTTGCCTTTCCCCCCCCCCCGCACATTCGCTTAGCACGATTGGCTACGTACGGTGCGAACGAAGTTCAACATACACACGTTTGCGCACGCAAGAATAATGAGTTTTTTTTACTCCAGCTGTCTATCATGCATATAGTAATGACATGCATTGCCTAGTGTGGATAAGTGGCCTAACTCAGCGGTCCCCAACCTTTTTGGCACCAGGGACCGGTTTCGTGGAAGACAATTTTTTTCACGGACCGGAGGGGAGGGGTTCATCATTGGGTCTTTCCCCCTTTTCAAAGAAGCTCTCCAGCGACGTTTGTTTTGTACTCATTGTGGCTACTAGGGTTGTCAGCTTGTGGGCTTACCAACACTGTGACTGAGACAAGTGCGCAGTGCGGGAAAGAGGCGCGGACGGAAGTGGTAAATAATAAAATAATGGGGGATGGGCCACGCGCGGACTCACCGCTCTCACCTCCTGCTGCTGTGCGGCCCGGTTCCTAACAGGCCACGGACCGGTACCGGTCCGTGGCCCGGGG